TACCATATTTTATGGTAGTCACCTCTTTTTTTTTTTTTCCCATGCTTTGTCAAATGTAAAGAGGTAAACATTCCCTGTTTCTTTTTAGAGGGGCTCACCTTTCTTCTTCCTTGATTGTTTTGCAACCTCAATTAGTTAAAGAAAAATTACACTTTTTACATTATCTCTTTTTTTCTTATTATAGTATAGGAGTGATATTTGTGGGTCCATACTAATGTACTTATAATTAAATGGAAGTATAATTTCCAGTTTTTGTATTTTTGCCTACCTGGTCATTAGTTTATTGAATGCCAATGATTTAATGTTATCTTCCTCCAGAGAGATGTCCTTTTGCTTTCAGAAGATACTAAAATATGGCAGATTATCTTAATCCAGTCATTGAATCAATGTATTTGAAGATGAATTTCACTCTTCAGAGGGGTGGTATATGTCCATTTCTTTCTTAATGTATAGACCCAAATGATCCTTACTGGAGAACACCATTTTCCTTAGCAGTATCTGAATTCTAATTGTTGTCCCTCTAGCACCATGAAATTACCAGAAGTTCTTCTCAGCTTCTCAGGATTTCATTCACTACTTTTATATAGGCACATTCTCCTGGAGAAAAAATAGCATATATGTACATGCATGCTCATGAGTGAGTGTGTGTGCATACATACACACACACACGTGCACACAGTGTCTAGCTTGACTCTGACCTTCACTTGTCTCTGAGATCTTGATTTGAGATTTTTACATACTTTTAACCAGCTTTTCTAGTTGTCTTCAGTGGGAGGATTATGTGTGCTCACACACACACACACACACACACACACACACACACACATATCTTCTGCTGCTAGAAGCCAGGTTTTTGTAAAGTAATGATTTTCTAATTCATCAAAACTCAGAATCATTCTGACTTCAAAGAGCACAGAATAAGCTATACATTTACTCTCTAACTCAGACTTTCTTCGATATTTTTATGTGAGGTTTTGAGTATAGTTAAGATGGACGACTCCACAGAACTGTGGTGATATATTACTCTTGACATCTATCTTCCTTTAATTCTGAATTCTCAAAAGGAACATCTATTTATATTAAGAGTAGACTGACAGGTGATCCCAGATCTGTATAAACTTGTGCAAGTAATATCTTTGGCATAAGGACATTTACACTTCCTGAGTCCCTCTTTCACAAGCTCCCCTCCTCTCAACTCACTTAACCGTGATTCAAGACAGAATAAATACAAAAAATAAAGCAGATGATTTTAAATAATATCAAATATTCTATATTTGATTTATACCCTGGTTGTTGAAAAAGTTATGGCCTGTGTTTATTTTATATGTTTACCTAGTTTGTTAGGAAGTTTTAAATAAGTATCATTGCTATCTTATAAGAACCAGGAGACAAGCCAGCCGGGCATGGTCGTACACACCTGTAATCCCAGTGGCTTGGGAGGCTGAGGCAGGAGGATCTGGAGTTCAAGGTCAGCCTCAGCAACTGAGTGAGACCTTAATCAACCCAGTGAGACCCTGTCTTTAAATAAAATACAAAAAGAGCTGGGGTGTGGCTCAGTGGTTTAGTGCCCCTGGGTTCCATCCCTGGTTCCAAAAAAAAGGATATAAGAGACAAAGCTGAGTCTAAGAACTATAGATAATATAGCAGGTAAGAACTTGGCAGGAAGGAATTTAATAGAAAAAAAGGGTAGCCTGCAAATGCCAACATTTCAGAGGATTAGGCCAATATTGTGATGTCAGGTATCAGGTAAAAACAGATGAAAAAATTTTAAGTGTAGAATCAAAGTATAAGTGACTCAGGATGAATCTTAGAGAATAAGCAAAAATATCATTTTACTCAGTTTAGGAATTTTAATCACTTTTTATTTTCTCATCATTCTTGGACCAATTGGGTAGCTGTGAAATGTTCTTTCATTGATGTCAGAAGCACAAAGGAGTGAATGGAAATAGCCTTTGAATCTGGCCCTAGAATTGAAGCCTTGTAACTTTGGCCCATATATCCTTGAACAAAGCAAGCTTCGTGGAAAGACCCAAAGATAATAAGCAAAAATACATAGTCTACCTATTATGAAGTTATGGCAAAGATATAGATGCAAAGATGGATATAAGAAAATAAGGATCAGTAACCAGACCATGCATGTTATTTGTGTTTGGATATTTAATGCCTGCAGTAAGTTGATTGTCATTTTCTTTATTTTACATGGTGATATCTAGCATTTGATAATTGCCATTTCCTTCCATCACTAATTTTAATAGGTAATAAGTTCCGTGGATTTAGTTAAGTTTGTGATTTTAATAAAATATTAATTAGATACATGGACATAGATATAGAGATGCAAAGATATGGAATAGGTGCCATCACAACTCTTTCCTCCTTATCTTAGTTACTGCTAAGTGATCATAACATGCTTTCTCTTTGAGGTCAACTGAAGGTTTCAACTCTCCACCCCAGGGAGGTATGAGAGTTGAAACCTATTTACCATTATTACCTTAAATGATCAGATTCCCATCCACATTCAGATACTTGGAATACAACGAAGGTCCTGGAGTATAACCAAGAAAATACATTTTTTAAAAGCAAGGGTAACATTTACTCTTAGATGACATCATGTGAGATTTTCTTCTTTTTTTAATTCTTGGAAATACAGTGAATAGTACTCATGAAAAAAATCAAGAAATAAGTATTATATGCCCTATAAACAATTTTAATTTTACTGGACTTTTAATAGTATAATAAATACACTCTTAGTGCTTAGAGTGACTACAAAATATTCTTACTAATTCAAGTTTTTATTTAGACCCTAAAAATATTTTCCAAATGATTTCCTTCCTAGAAGAAAGTACATATTAAATTACTATGGGATTACTAACCCATTTCACTTGGATACATTTCTTTGGATCCTTTCCAAGTTTCAAAAATATGTGCCTTAATTTCATATCAAATACCACTGGATGACAAACATTCTTAGTACTATATATGTCAATTCACTTATCATTTTGTATCTTTTATACAAAGATGAATAAAGCATGATTCTTTACATGTATAGTTAGCTACACAAATAATCATTATTCATTGCTTACAAATATGATATTAAGACACACAGATTAGGAGAATTTGAGCAAGACTTCAAAAATGGGTTTTTAAGCAGGGACTTGAAAAATAGGAAAAAACACATTCTTCACAGAAAAAAAGTAGAAAGGAAGTACAGTTTAGGCAAGAGCATTTCAAAGCTTCAAGGCATGAAGTCCGAAAGAATAGAACAATACATGTTTGGGAATTGAAATAAAAGCAGGAAACCAATAAGTAAACCATTTGGTAGTCTGTACAAACATCATAAAAAGTTTCATTAGAAACACCGGCATTAAGGATGGAGATAGGTCTTTTGAAAAGATATTTTAAAGGTAGTTTAATAAGTAATTAATAGTTGTAATAGGAAGGGAAGGTGACATTAATGAAAGAATCAAGGAAAGTTTGATGTTTTCATCTCAGGTTACTGTCTAGAGTATAGCAGTCATGGAAATAGGGTATGCAAGATAAAGAATAGTGGTGATAGAGAAGGAAATCTCCCTTGAAAACATCTTAAATTTTACACGTTAATATTGGAATGAAGAAGTCAAAGTCTGAGGGAACTAGATTTAGTAGGTTGGCTTGAGTCGAATTAGGTTAAGTTTTATTAGGAGAGAAATGAACCAGTAAGGCAATGGCAAGGTGTTTAGAGTGTTTGTGCCAGGGCTGTCTCTTACATACAGGTAAGTTAAAAAGCATATGGCAGAACTGAGATCAAGAATTGCAAGTCAGTGTAGGATAAGCAGTAGAACAGAGACAATAATGAGGAGATTGACAATTCCAGAAGATGGAGTAAAACTGAGCAGATAGGCAGGAACAAAGGGCTCTGCAAGAATTACAAGGACAGGGAAAATAGCCATGGTTCAAATTCAAGGAAGACATCAAAATGAAAGGAAATCGAGCAAGAGACTTTGTCTAAAGCAAGAGCCAATTCCCAAGCATTTTGACCTGATGCTTCAAGCAGATATTAAAAATACTTCTAGAATATAAGAAATCTCAGTAGAGATAAGACCGTTCTCAACTAACTACAGTGATACATATATTTCATACAAGTGTATCTTTCTATGCCAGAAGAAAAGTTACCAGGCTTTTTTGATGTGAAGGGGAGACACTCAGATTTTTCTGTTTCTCCTCGGTCCCTCCCTTCCTTCCCATTTTTGTTTCTTTCTTTTTTCCCCCACTCTTTCCCTGATTCATTCCTTCCTCTCTTCCTCCCTCTTTCCCTCCTTCCTTTCCTTCTTCCTTTTCTTTGATCTCTATAGCATTGTAAAGGTTTGAAGAGTTTGGTCAGGAAAAAACCTGTTAATTGTTGGGTGAAGCATCTAGACTTACAGGATATTGTGAAGTCCAAATGTTCTCATGTACACCTTTTAACCTAGAAGCTTTGTATATCCAACTTTATGTCCAACTCCCAAGGTTGGAATTAGAAAACTAATCTTTTGCTTCCTGTTTTATGATTTTTCTTTTTTTAAAAAAAACTCAGTAAATTTTAGAAATCATTTGCTTATTCTTACAAAAGCTAAACTTAAGATGTTTTTAGAATTTGAACAGAAAGCCTAATAGAATATTTGATCTAGCATTCTCTAGAACTATGTAACAAAATAACTATTTGATTTTTTTATTTTAATATGGTCTTTTCTGACTTAGCATTCTTTTCACAGATATTATTATGTGTAAATTACGAGAACTGTTTCAGCTGAATTTTTTTTGCAATATTAGCCTCTCCTTTTCACAAGGGAAATTTTGGTAAAGCTTGTTTGGTTGAAACACATTATTGTTACTTTAGGTGCTGATTATTGTGATGCCGAGTTTCCAATTGCCTTGATTAAAGTAGACACATTCTATGGCTTGGATGACTTACATTTCACATTGGTTTGAACAAGATGATTGGTATGAAGGACTACAAAGAGTAAGACATATTTATGTTGTAATTATGATTTTCTGTGATTTTTTCTGCTTTGCTTCTCATGTAGCTATATTGTTTCAATCATATTTTGGAAATCTTTGTATTTCAAAAATCTGAGGTTATGAATGACAGTTTTAAAGCAGAAGTAAGAATATGATTTATAAAGGTAATAAGTACTGAAGAAAGGCATTTTTTCCTATCCTGATTTCACATGCATTCTTAATCATGTTTTCAGATTGCCTTCTGGCTTAAAATATAGCATTTTGTCTAATGAGATTAATGTGTTAAAATAGCAATAATTTGAAAAAAGTCATTTCATCTGAAGAAAAAGATTTAATGAAATAGAAGTTACATGCATGCTAATATCATATGTTATAATAATATTATAAAAGGACATGTAAAAAGTTTCTGAGGAAATATGCCACATTGCATCTGATAAATTTTTAGACAATTATGTTTCAAAAGGAATTGCACTGTTACCACGGTAACTTTTGCATAGTATTTTGAAAATAGTATTCTGATCTCTTGTTGCAATAGTAAAAAAGAAAAGCTATTTTAAAATATGCATGTCAAAATGGATTTAATTTAGAAAAATATGATCTCTTATTTTTTCATCTTTTTAATGGGAAATTTAGTATTATTTAAATGAAGACTGTGTGGATTTTTCTTTTCACTTAATTGTCTACTAAAGAGCCAGAATATCTTTACACAGTTTGACTACATTTTTCCTCATTGTTGTTCCAAAGTATATGCTGTTAAAGATATGCAGTAATTTATTTTTCTTCCTCCTTTTTCACATTTCCATTCTAATCATATTAATCACACACAGATATTTTCTCCTTAGTCTGTTTGTTTATAAATATAAATCCTTAGTATGGCATAGCCTCTTTGATTTTTGTCCAGATACTTTTGCTTTTCCTTTTCTTCATTTTTTTTCTTTAAATTGTGGAATGAGCTGGTAGACATCTCTGGAGCCAATAGATATCTGCCTCTGAAGAATGAAACTCATACTGTGAATTCTAAAGCATTCTTCAGAAAAGATGTTGAGAATTTGTGAGTAGCTTTTTATCCTGAATTTCAACCTTATCCATAATTGATAGAAATATTTCAGCTTATAAGTTTAATAGTAGTATTCCAAGCACCACTGACTGATAGGACTGATACACACACACACACACACACAGACTCTCTCTCTCTCTCTCTCTCTCTCTCTCTCTCTCACACACACACACACACACACACAGACACACTCTCTTTCTCTCTCTCTCTCTCTCTTACACACACACACACACACACACACACACACTATAGTGCTGGTATCCTATGTGAGTACATTTTAAATGTAATAGCAAATACATTTTGATGTTTCAATACAGGAGGTATATTTTGGTTTGTTTTTGTTTTGTTCCCATACATAGTCCATATATTTCTCCATAGAGGAGATAGGGGTGATAATCTAATTTGGGAATCAAAGGGGACTAACGTTAATAAAAATGCTTTGTACTAAAATGTGTATTTCTTAGTGCCTTTGGAGCATTTTATGAAAATTATGAGGATTCAAAATCTTTCTTTCCTTGCCCTTTACTATTACTATAGGCCTCTGTAAATAAATTCCTGGTTTTGAGACATATTAAAAAAGGAGATATTCTTAAATATAGAAATAAAGTAGTCCTAAATTTCACATAACCTTTATGAGTTTGATCTTCTTGCCCAAGTTTTGATAAGTTCTTACATAGACATACATGAGAATGAAGATCCTATTCTAAATGAAGAAAATTGGCACAAGAATATTAACTTTCATTTCATCTAAAAATCCAGATTATTATTTTTTAGTTTTGTGTTTATGCATTTATACATATGTATATACATTGTATAATCATTGAGCATAAAGATGTTTTGAGTGCTTTTAAATGTTCACAAGATTCATTGCATTGATACACCACAGTGAATCTCATGATCTCGTATATCCAAAATAAATTAATTAAAAAAAACTATGAGTAAATGGCAGAAAGATCAATAGAGGAAAGGGAGCTAGGAATGGTGAGGGGTAGGGGAAAACAGATGTACTCGAGTCTGAATTAGAACAAGATATATTCCATGCTTTTATAATCATGTCAAAATGGATTGTACTGTCATGTATAACTAAAGAGAACCAATAAAAATAAATAAAATGTTCACAAGAAGAGACAAGTTGGACTTTTGAATTAAAAATTATAACAGCAATACAGTGTTTGAAAATCATATACAAATATGAATTTAATCTTTAGACTACCAAGTCCACATTTATATTCTAACATTATTAATATTCGTGGCATATTATATAATTATACAAATCTATAAATATAAATTTTGATTTTAAATTTACTTCTGAAATTTGGTTTGGGCTGTATTGTAACTCTACATTATCTATATTTAAAATTTTAGTATGATCATTTCATATCATAATAATCTTGCATATTTAAAAGTGAGCTTTTTAAAACTATACAAAACTTATGAAGATGTTCTCCTATCACTTGTTTCTTAACCTTTTATTCACTTACTGTGTAAAACATATTTGCCATATATATTCTCTATTAAACCTAAGAATAACAGTATAATTTGTGTGTGTGTGTGTGTGTGTGTATGTTTCATGTGGTATGAGATTGAAACCAAAAATAAATCTGAGTTAAAAAAAATTTAATTATGCTTGCAAAGAGGGGAGTTGCCAGGTTACTGACACTATCAGCTACCTGTGGGATGACACAGCCAGGTTACTGACACTATCAGCTACCTGTGGGATGACACAGTGTTCACGCTTTCTTCATGAATCCATTAAAAATATGCATTATTTAGTAAACTGCAATGTTTAGCACTTCATCAGTAAAGTACATGTGTTATTTCTGGGCCAAAAAGTTTAATTCCTGAAGAAATGTTTAAATAGACATGAAAATTCTTAAATGGAATTCTGAAGTGAGCATAATGAAAGGTTCATAATTCATATGCAATATGTTACTTGTCATAATTAAATGTTTATTTATCTTTATATGTAACATATTTTGAAAATTACATACAAGTATGAATTTAATCTTTATATTTATATTTAAAATTATAAATATGTATTTCAAAATGTACCTTCAATTAAATATTTTCTATTTCCAGTAATGATGAATCATTAGTTGTATAATCATTCATGCTGATAACAAAGATAGTCAAAGAAAACTTCTGGGCATTTCATCTCTTTGGCAACTGTAGATAATCACTGAATAAAAACTAGATATCTATATATTTCATAATCCTATTGAAAAAATATTCTAGAATTTTCAAATTCTAGCAGTCATTGAATATATAATGCACATTTTTTAATGCAGTGGAATTTGTATGTTTAATGATGCATGACCTGTTTTTATATTTTATTCAAAGTCATAGATTCTTCATTTCCTTTTTGCTCAGTTTTATGCGTTCTATGTAGATTTTAGATAAAAGCCCTTTATTAGGGTTTTTTTTTAATAAATTGATACTTTGTATTGTCCTATCTATTATTTTAATGACTGGTTTAGACAAGTTATTCATCTCTGAACTTTAAAAGGATTTAAGTTCTTGAACTATAAGACCTATAAAAGCATTTTAAGAACAAAAGCATCCCAAATTTTGTGCCAGCATATACTAATTTAGAAAACTTAAAAATATTAGATAGGATAGTTTAAATTAAGAATAGTTTAAGAATGTATAGGTATAATATTTCCAAGTACTTTATATGCTTATGATAAATAAGAATTTAGCAGAGGAACTTTGAGAGATCAGTCCAGTATGTTAGAAGCATAGAAGTGGCCACTCTATCTTAACAAGGAGTAAAAGCATAAACAAACCGAAAAATTATCAGGGAAAACCAACTCCAGCCTGCATTAGCTTTCCACACTGAACAAAGGGGAATACATAACTCTTGCTGTTTTCAGCCATCCTGTTCCACCTGAGGAGTGTGGTGTGGGGAACTGAGAAGCACTGATTAGGGGCATGGACTCATCAAAAGACTGAGACCTAATGATAGAACTAGAGAGTGCATTCCCCATCTCTGCACTTTACCATTGCATTGCTAAGAGCCTTTTTAAAGCATTCCATTCACATGATACATCATGTCCCCATCGCAAAAAGCTGCAAAGCATACTAGAAGGCAAAACACAGTTTGAAGAGACAAGCATTAGAATCTGTTATTGTTTCACCCCAAAATGAATTATGTAGGTGTAAGTTTAACAAAATGTGTATAAAATCTGCTTAAGGTATAAAACTGTGAAGAATAGAGTCAAAGAGCAAGTAAATAAAAGGACATTCCATGTTCATGGATAAGAAGATGCAATATTGTTAAGATTCCATTTCTTTCTAAATTGATCTAACAAACCCAATCAAAATACAGCTAGCTATTTAATAGATATCATAAATCTACAACTATCTACACAATAAAATGTCTGCAAATATCTACATATATAAATCTACATAATCTAAAGGTTAAATATCCAGAATAGCTAACTTAATATTTAAGGAGAACAGAATTCTAGGATTAACATTACCTAACTTTAGACTTATTATAAAGACAGTGATATTTTGCAAAAGTATATGCAAATGGAAAAGAATAAGAAGTCTAGAAATGCACACACACATAATTATACTCAACTGAGCTTTGCCAAAAGAACAAAAGTAATATTGTGGTGCAGAAAGACAGCCTTCTCAATTAATGGTGCCAGAACAACTGAATATACATATATTAAAAATCAATCTAGACACAGGCTTCACACCTTCCATAAAAACTAACTCAAAATGGATTATAGAACTACATTTAGAATAAAAAATGCTAAAAATTCAAGAACATACAAGAAACCTAGATGTTTACAGATTTAGCTGTGATTTTTTTAGACACCAGAGGTGCATTCTGTGAAAGAGATTTTTAATAAGCTGGATTTCTTTAAAGTGAAAAACTTCAACTTTGTAAAAGGTAAGATCAAGACAGTAAGACAAGCTACACACTGGGGAAAATGTTGCAAAAGAAACATCTAATAAAGGGCTTTTATCCAAAATATACACAGAAGTCATTAACTCAGCAATAAGGAAATGAAGAACCTGACTTAAAAATGAGCAAAAGGCTTGAGCAAATCAAAGAAGATATGTAGGTTTGGGGTTGTGGCTCAGTGTTAGAGTATTTACCTAGCATGTTTGAGGCACTGGGTTCAATTCTCAGTACCATATAAAAAAAATAAAGACATTGTGTCCATCTACAACTAACAAAAATAAATAAAGATATGGGAATGGCAAGTGAACATATGAGAAGGCATTCAGAATCATCTGTCATTAGGTAATTGCATATTGAACAATGATGAATGACTACAAATTAGAATGCTCAAAATCTAAATATTAAATGTTGGCAGTGTGGAACAATAGGAACTCTCATTCATTTCTGGTGGAAATACAAAATGAGTACAGACACTATTGAATAGTTTGGTAGTTTCTTATGAAAGTAAACATACTCTTGTCATACAAACCAGCAGTTATACTCGATATTTACTCAAATGAATTGAAAATTTACATTTATAGAAAAACCTGCATGTGGATGTTTATAGCAGATTTACACATAGTTGCCCAAATTGGAAAGCAGCCAATATGTCCTTCAGTAGATGGGCAGCTAAATAAACTGCATGAAGACAAAAAAAATATTATTCCGTTAAAATGAAATGAGCCATCAAGCCATGAAAAGTACTAGGACTCTCTCTACTTATCTGGACAACAGTTGCACTAACAGAATCTGTCTGTTGTGATTATTTTGTAATTATTTTGGAAAACTGAAGTCTCTGCAACTTCCAGAAAGTGGTTTGGATGTTAAATCTCAGTCAGTTTTAGCTCTTAACACAATATTAGCTACTTGTCCTCTACCTCAAGCCCTTTAGTAGGGAACTGTGCATATATTATGGAAGTAGCTTGCATAAACAAAACACCCTGTCCTTTAAATATCAGGGATAACTGTTCTGATCACTAACTGTTGCTTCAGATCATAGAGATAGAGACAGAAGCAGGCACTGCTGCAACCTTCC